AGTTAATAATTAAAAATATTAGTATAGATGAGTATTAAATTACAAATTTGACATTATAGATATGAAAAAGTAAGGGTATTGTAGGCATATCATATTTTTACAGATTCATTAGCTCTTTTATAATAGTATAGATATTTACGGTCTTCTTGATATGTTGATTTTTTTCTAGAAACTAACTCATGGTAAATAGACAGTATATATTGAGTATATATAGACAATATATTTTCAGTTTATAGACATTTTTTGTCTGGATTATTTACATTTGCTCAGACGACACGTATATGTTGAGTATATATACAGTATTTTTTCAATTTATAGACATTTTTATGTTTTCAAAATATTCAAAATTTGATTTAAAAGAAAAAAAATGACTTTTGTTGTTGTGTATATGTATAGTTTATATACATAGTCCATTCATCATATAATGAATGAAAATCATCATAGGTGACTTCATCCACAAAAATATAAAAAACATAAACCTTTAATATACAAAAACAAAACGATACATAACAGAAGATGGAGAATATGTTCAACATATGTTCTGTATATTAGAAGATTTTTTTGTTAGGGAATATAAGTAAGATGTTATAATATGTGTATAAACTATATATATACTTTTATGTATAAAAGTAAAAAAAATAAAAATAAAAAAGGAATACATAATTTTTCGGAAGACATGTACTTCATTGCAACATATACTGAATATATATACTAACATAAATGCAATATATACCACCTAACAGATGCGTGAATTACAGAACATGTTTTTATTTCTCTCTATTAGAAACATGCACGAATTAAAGAATTAAATGAGTCATTTATTTATTTTTATTTCTCTCCTTTAATCAAATGCATTAAAAGGGGGATGAAAGTGTGAATGATACGGTAACTTAATTTACGCATTAATATAAATAAATAAGGCCTTTTAGATAGAGACATAATTATTTTTACTTGTATATGCAATTAATTTAAAATCACACAGAATACATAAAAATTTCCCATTAAATTTCTATAAAGTGGCCACTGTTATCTCATACTTGTGTTAGAAAATGGTGTATCGAATTACACGAGAATCTTACGAATTGATGTGTATTTTTCAGTTCTTATAAATGATCTACAATTAGAAAATTACAATAGAACTGAAAATGAGTTACAAATTGAAAAAACAGAAAGTTTTTTGCCGAGACGAGTAAACTCTTTCAGCAAGACGAATATGCCCCGTGTAGTGCTGACGGTACAGGCGTATCATCTCCAAAGATACAACGGAGATCGTCTCGAAATCTGTAACGCATCAAATTTACGAGGTCCGGCGAATTGAAATAGAATCGAGAATTGAGCACTTAAAAAGGAATAAAATTATCTCTCTTTTGCTATTCTAATAACAAATAACTTTTATATATGATTTTCTCTCTATTTTTCCTGCAACAATTGTTTCTCTATCTCTCGTACTTTCTTTTCTTTCTAATTTTTTTCCGTCTATTATGTTTTTCATTCAGCTGAAAGCACATATATTTAGAGGATTATTAGCAAGGGGTTGTAGGAGCAAATGGCCAAAAGGCCGTATTGTTTATGTCTGTAATAATAGTACAGACAATTTGGCAAGATGACAATAAACTATCTTCATGCACACATTTCTAAATAAAAGGGACGCACTCATTAATTACACTCAATTATTTGTTACAATTCGCACTCAATTCTTACAATCTCTCACATGAGTGGAAATTGAATGTATGCATATCTGCAGACTACTCAATCTCAATAAACTCTATTGCATCATAGAAGGTAGCTTGTGGCTTTGAACTTCTCTTAGTAAACATCATCGGATGCACTGATGGCCTAGTGGACATAATGCCTTGAACTATTCCTTCATAGTGTACAACAAGACAATGACATTCACATAATAGAGTCGTAACTCCATTCCATTCTATTGTTGTGTCTGTTTTGACCATGGACAACACTTTAGATTCATAAGTATTTACATTTGAAGTGGCCCTCACTTCACACTTATATAGGTGACCTCCCTATCAAGAGTATCTTGTATTACTCCACCCCTGAAAGGTTAGGGATTCGTTAGAAGTCTAGCTTACCCTCACCACAATCAACATGTCATCATGCACTTGGAGTGCTTTAGGGAATAGCTTTGGACATTCTTATATTCCAAGTGCTCAGCTGAATTTTCATAGCTTAGCTTTCCCTTGAATCAAGTTCATGAGATCTCTATTCTGCAAGGTAGGGTTACCGTTATGATCATTCTTTTCATTGTGGGTTTTTAAGCACATTCCCTCTAGCAATACTCCCAATGGATCTCTATTCATTCCTTTAGTAAAAAGGATCTGCCAAATTTTCCTTAGACTTCACGTACTTAATGGAAATAACATCATTTGTTATCAATTGGCGAACGGTATTATGCCTACTACGAATATGTCTGGACTTACCGTTATACATGTTGCTTTGCGCCCTTCCTATAGCACCTTGGCTATCACAGTGAATCATCACAGGCGACAAGGCTTACTCCAACATAGTATATGAGATAAAAAGTTTTGAAGCTACTCGGCTTCTTCACCAGCTTTATCTTAAAGTGATGAACTCCGATTCCATGGTTGACTGAGCTACACAATTTTATTTTGTGGATTTCCACGAAACTACACCACCTCTAATAAAGAAAACATATCCGCTCATGGGGTGAGAATTTCTCGAATCAGATATCCAGCTTGCATCACAATACCCTTCAAGTACAGCTGGGTATCTCGATTATTTTAGCCTCATTCAAGGGTGTACTTTATGTACTTAAGTACCCTTTTCAAAGCATTCCAGTGCTCATGACTAGGCTTGCTCGTAAATTTGCTCAATTTACTCATTGGATAGACCAAGTCTGGTCGTGTACCCTTCGTTAGGTACATCAAACTCCTTATTATCCGTCAATATTTAAAATGAGATACTGGTTGACCTATATTGGCTACCAAATTTATGCTTAGATCAAGGGGTGTTCTAGACAACGGACTGTCATAGAGATTAAATTTCTTGAGCACTTTCTCTACGTAGTGAGATTGTGACAAGACAATTCTATTTTGGGTTCTGATAATCCTTATTCCAAGAATAACATATGCTAT